GCATGCGTGTGCATGCGTGTGTGTTTGCATGTGTGCGCCAGAGTGTGTGCGCCGGTGCATATGTGCGCATGCGTGTGCATGCGTGTGTGTTTGCATGTGTGCGCCAGAGTGTGCGCGCCGGTGCATATGTGTGCATGCGTGTGCATGCGTGTGTGTGCATGTGTGTGCCAGAGTGTGTGCGCCGGTGCATATGTGTGCATGCGTGTGCATGCGTGTGTGTTTGCATGTGTGTGCCAGAGTGTGTGCGCCGGTGCATATGTGCGCATGCGTGTGCATGCGTGTGTGTTTGCATGTGTGTGCCAGAGTGTGTGCACCGGTGCATATGTGCGCATGCGTGTGCATGCGTGTGTGTTTGCACGTGTGTGCATGTGTGCGTGTGTGTGCATACCCATGCCGTGTGCAGTCTTCTGTACACAAGCACATGCGGGTCTCTGCTCAGTCCAGGGGGTGCCTCCGAGCTCGGTGGTTCCCACCAGGGCACGTGTGCCTCAGGGGCCCTCACGCATCTGCCCCAGTCCCCACCCTCTGCTTCTCGGGGAGTGACTTATAGGCGAGGGAGGGACTCAGACAGACTCCCCGCACACTCTGAGCTGCCAGCCCTGCAGACCATCACAGGGATCTGGCATCCTTGTTCCATTGTCAGAGCTCCTGTGACAGTGGCGTCCCTCGGGCTCTGTGGGGAAATGGACTCCTGCCCTCTGGGAGCTACCAGGCAAGTCTCTTTTACAAACTCGCCCGAGCCCTGATGCAGGGATGCTCAGGGCACCTGGAGGTGGGTGACGCTGTCTCAGGGGCGCAGAGGGTGGCCAGGCTGCCGCTCAGATGCATCGGGAGGGGCTGCTCGCTATCAAGATCCGGAAGTCGGGGCCTTTGCACCCGTGACTTTCCGGTTCAGCAGCGCGACGGGAGCCACGTTTCCTCCCCTCCTTGCTCTCCACACGGGCTCACCTTTCTGAGTGGTAACTTCGAAGATCTCCGAGCTCTCGCCTGGGTTAAAATGCCTGAAGTAGGAACAGTTTTTCTCTGCAAAGGAGGGAGACGGCCTATGAGTTGAGACAAAGGGCTGCAGCCGGGGCAGGAGCTCAGCCGAGAGAGGGCGGGTGCAGCCCCCAGGGGGATTCTGCCCCCCAAACCCTGACTCTGGGCTGAAACACACATCTTTCACTAACCCTTAGACCAAAACGTTGGTAGGAAAGAGGGTTGCATAAGAGGCTGGGAGATCATCAGGGAGCTGAGGCTAACTGAGTCCGGGGGCAGAGAGCACTGGGGTACTGAGCCCATTAGGCAGACAGGGAAACTGAGACCCAGAGATCAAGTCATCTGTTAGCGGGTACAGGACCCATGGCCAAGCAAGGGCCAAACAGTGGTTCTCAGCCAGGGCTGATTCTGCCCCCAGAGGACACTGGGCAGTGTCTGGAGACATTTTTATGTCACAACTGGGCAAGGCTGCTACTGGCATCCAGTGGGTAGAGGCCCGGGATGTGCTGAGCGTCCTACCATGTACAGGACAGCCCCCTACAGCACAGAATTACAGGCCCCCAAATGTCAGTAGTGGTGAGTCAGCAGTGGTTCACATCCAGTCTAGGGCTGGGTTTCTTACCTGCATCCAGGCCCACCCTGAGGCACTGGGTGTGACCTGGGAAGCAAAGTGTTTTTCAAGAACTTTCCAGGAGATTCTGGTGTTCAGCCAGGTTTAGAAGCCTGGCTCCCGGCCCCTTGAAATGCCCTTCAAAGGGCTTTTCTGAGTGGGCCCTCTATATGGACTTGGGTGAAGGGCAGAGAACCTCTAACCGAGGGCCAAACGTGATCAAAAGCTCATTTCACTGGGCCCTCAATGCCTGTGGCCATAGAAACAGCCCAGATGAGACCTCCCCAGGTGAGCTGCTTCCCCACCCGATTAGTGTCAGAAAAGCCACAGACGATCTGTGCTGGCAGTAGGACCAAAAATATGGATTTGATAGGGGGCAGAGGAAGAACTCAGAACAAAGAAATTCACACCGATTTTCAATATAATTTCTCTTCCATTCTTCTCCTTTAATCTCTCTTACAACTAGATATACTGTAAAATCAAAGGATAGTCTTATTGCTTATTGAATACAGTTTAATACTCTATACTCTTGATTTAGGAAGTAGATGAATGGATTATTTTATACTATTTTGTTTCTTAAAAAAAAAAAACTAAATTAGGTTGCTTTTTATTTCTGTGAGGCCCTTCATTGAATTCTTTTTCCTGTGGATCCTTGAACCTCAATAGAAAAACATCTCTGCTCCTAGTTTATATGGCATCTAGTTTGTGCATCCATTTCTTTACCTACATTCAAATGATCACCAGGTGTTTGATGCCTAGTTTCTTTTGGAAACAAACCTGAGGTTTGCGAAGTCATAGCTTTCATTGGGGTCCAGGCTTCCGTCTGCCTGACCTGTATAACCTTGTTCCACTGAAGCCTGTGGCCTCCATTTCCCCTCCCCCAATGTCAGGGTTACTTCTGCTCCCCTAAGTCCAGGAAGAGAGTGACCCCGGGAGATGGAGCCTGGTTTAGCAGCAGTAAATGTTCCATGAGGTAAACAGCCTTTTCTCTGAGCGTCTATATTTAAATCCCTTTCCTTTTGAGCTGAGTTGCCTGGGGTGTGTGACTGCCGCTGGTGACTCAGGAGATGCTGTGCTTTTCTCTCTCGCAGCTTCTGCTGTTACTTTAAAGCATGATGGAACCCTCTCATATTTGTTAGATTAGTAGCTATAGATTCTCTTGAATCCCTGCTTCAAAATGGCTCGCGCGAAGTTACAGGTCTCCTCATGTCTCCCTCTGGACGGAGGAAAACTTCTGTTTCCTTCTTTAAGAGCCAGTCTCGGTCGTCACTGAAAACCCTCTGAAAAGAACTGACTGAATTCAAGTGTGCTTCACGGTCAGTTCCCTCCCTGACGACGCACAAGCCGAGTTAAAAGCGTCCATTCAGCGCGCAAGGCCCGGAGACAGAGGCCCATCGGAAGCCCGGCCAAGGCCCAGCTGTCCGGCAGGTCCGCGTGGCCGAGGCTTCTCTTGCACAGGTAGTACTCGGGGTGTCGGCCCCCCGCCAGACAAACGCCGGGCTCCTGGGGGAGCCACCCTGCAGACTCGGGGGTGGGGACGTGGGCCCAGGTTCAGTCTTCCCTCCCTCCCCTCCTCTCTCCAATGCTCTCTGGGGGCGCTGGGGGGCACCCATGTGGGGCACCTGGAAGCCTCAGCTTCTCTTTCATGTGGCTGGTCCTCGGGCTTGAGGATGGGTGAGCCAACCCCGTCTGCTCTCTTGGACGTAGCACACGAGGAAGGCCAGCGGCCTCTGAACCAGGAGAAGCATCCGCTGCACGGCCCTGCGGCTGCCCGTTGGAGACCACAGCCCCTTTGCGGTCCTGTTCGGGATAAATCAGCTCGGGCACCTGCCAGTGTCACTCAAGAACTGCCCAGGATCCTGTTGGGATGGGCAGTCCCCGCCCCCGTCCCTTAGCCTGGGCGCTGTCTGGGTGAACCGCATCAAGGGCAACTTGAAAAGGAAGGACGTTTGAGATGGGCCTGCGTGGGTAGCGGGCGGGAGGGAGGGACCGCGTGCAGACTGTGAGCCTTCTTGCCTCTGCCTCTCTGACATCCCTCTGCCCCCTGCGCCCGGTCTACATCCCACCTGCTCAGCACCTGCAGCTGTGCCTCATGGGCTCCAGCCCCTTCACTGGGCAGAAGGAGCAAGTGCTTTGGACCAGGTTGGCGGAGATACCAACACTGGGGTTGTGACCTGGGACCAGAACTGAGCACCGAGGCTCCTCCAGCCTCCTTGAGTCTGCAAATGGCTCACAGTGATTTTAATATTTGTATTTATTTTTTTCTGTGTTTCAGAAATGTCTACCATGGACAGTCGTAAGACTCAGTGATCTAAAATCTTTAAGTGGATTATTCCTTTAAAAAATGTCATAAATCAGTTATTGGGGTTGGACTATTCTGCTCACCAAAGATTCTGATTAAGGGAGGGACTGACTTTGCAGAACTGTATCTGCCAATCTCAGAGAACTGGAACAGAAAGCACATTTAGCTCCAAGCCGAACCGGAGTTACTATAGATCTTTCTCTGATAGTTGGCACAGCTTGTATGATTAGGGGATGCCTCTGGGTATCACTGAGAATGTATCAACCCAATGCTGGTTGATGCAGACTTTGATACATTAAAAAAACCACCTCGCTGATTTGCACAAAACCAAGGGAACGAGGGCTCTGGGGGTCGGAAGAAACGTTTCACCCACTTGGTACTTGCATCAGTGCCAGGGTTGTCTTCACCCTTTTTGTAAAAGAAGTTCTTGATGCTCCCGATAGTGGTTTCTCTGTGCTCTGTGTTCCCCCGTCCCTCTGATTGAAAGGGGTTGGAGAAATCCTCAAGACCTGACCCCAGGGCCTCAGAGCATTGCTGTTGTATGGGGGAGAAGTCTAGTTATGGCCAGTCTCCAGCATGGGCTCCTGCGGATGGGAAAGGGAGCCTCTGAGATTCTTGGGGTCACAGGAGTGTCGTGTTCTTTCATTTGGGCTCCAGTCCGGCCCCACGTACTAGGAGAGAAGATGGGCCACTAGAGAAACTGGGCACTGCTGCTGCCTTGTGCTCAAGAGGCAGAGTCGGAAAAGAAAGAACATTCCACCCAGACCAAGGGCGAGGGATGACCCTTCTGAGGACTCACTGGGCTTGCAGACAGGCAGCTCTTCTGACAACTGGGAAGCCCCTGCTCTCACTCTGGAGACGCTGGAACTGACCTCAGATACGGATGCTGTGCATGGCAGTCCTTCGAAGACTTGCGGTCGGTGGAAAACCCAAATTGGACCGTTTGTGTCCTCAGAGCCTCCAGCTCTCTGCGCTGAGCGCAACCTTGAAAAGCTTCCTCTGCTTCACCAGCGCTCGATGCCGCTTCCGCTAAATCACGTCGTGTCAAAGCTGGTCCTGATGTGTCTGCTCGGGTCAGCAGCTCCTGGGAAGGGTGTTTGTGCCTGCGGTGGAGGGTGTGGGGAGGGACCGCAGAGCAAAGAAACTCTGGATTGGAGACCTGAGCCTCGGAGAGACGCCTCTGAGCCTCAGTTTTCTCACACGTGGAATGAGGACCGTCTGTAGAATCCAAGTCTCCTCACCGGGTGGTTGTAATAAGTAGTGTCATGTAGCAACTAAGGTGAATGTTAGGCGTATGGGTCCTGGCTGCTCTGCCATGGTAACTGTGTGACCTCGGCCAAGTTACTCAACTTCTTCGTCCCTTGTTTTCTTTATCTGTAAGATTGGCTGATGATAATAGTATGGACCTTGTCAAGGATTTTGTGAGGATCTGATGATTCTGATTACTGTCTAACTGTCTATCTGTCTATCTGTCATCATCTGTCATCCCACTGCCCTCTGGCCTCCATGGTTTCTAGGAAAATTAAGCTGTTTAATCTTACTAAGAATGTCTTGTCCGTGATGAGTTGCTTCCTCTTGTTGCTTACAGAATTCTGTGCCTTTATCTTTCAGTGGTTTGATCATGACGTGCCTAGGTATGAATTTATCCTGCTTGGAGTTCATTAAGCTTCATGAATTTGTAGGTTAATGTTTTTCATCAGATTTGGAAAACTTTCCGCCATTATTTTCCACGTAACCTTCCTGCTCCTCCCCCGCCCCATCTCTCTCCCTCTCTCTCTTTCTGAGATGCTATTATGCATATGTTAATACATTTGATACTGTCCCACAGGTCTCTTCATTTTTCTTTCCTGTCTGTTCCTTAGACTAGCTAATCTCAATGGACCTACCTTAAGGTTCACTGGGTTTTTTCTTCTATCTGCTATATAACCCCTCTAGTGAATTTTTCATTTCAGCTGTTGTACTTCAAAACTCCGGAATTTCTCTTGGGTCTTTTAAAAATCGTTTATATCTCTTTATTGATATTCTCTATTTCATGAGATATCATTCTCATCTTCATTTTAGTTCTTTAAACATGGTTTCTTTCAGTTCTTTGTATCTAAAATAGCTGATTTAAAATCTTTATCTAGTAAGTCCAATATCTGGGCCTCCTTAAGGATCTATTGGCTGCATCCCCCATCCCGACCCCCACCCCATGTGAGTGCCATGCTGTTTTAGTTCTTTGCATGCCTTGTAACTTTTTTAATTTAAAATTTAAAACTCAACATTTTAAACAATATAATGTAGCAACGCTGGAAATTAGATGTCCACCCTTCCCCAGGGTTTGCTCCTGTGGCTGTTGGTTACTGTTGCTTGTTAAATGATATTTCTGAATTAATTTTGTGAAGTCTGTATGCACGTACGGCCACTGAAATCTCTGCTCAATTAGTTTGGTGGTCAGCTCACAGAGATTTCCTAAAATGCTTGTACCCGACACATCTCCCAGTCTTTACTGAGGGGTTTTGTGCTAAGCAGAGGACCAAGCACTCAGCTAAATAGCCTACATTTCTGCCTTAGTCTTTTTTTTCTTTCCCCCCTCCCTCCCTCCCTTCCCTTCCTTCCTTCCTTCCTTTCCTCCTTCCTCTCTCTCTCTCTCTCTCTTTCTCTCTTTCTTTCTTTCTTTTCTCACACAGCTGTTGGTTTTCAAGGCTGTGACAGAGTCGGGAGGGGAGAACGGGAAGAGTGCACATTAAGACACCACAAAGCTCATTGTTCCCACTGAGATTCACCAGTTTTCCTTGAATGAGCACTTGCTGGATTGCTGCAAGACTGGTTAATTTCTAGAGTTCTGAAAAAGTTGATTCTGACCATCTTGGCAAATGTTCTCATTGTTTTTATGGAGAAGAGGATTTTTGGAGGTACTTACCCTGTCATTTTTTCTGATGTCATCCAAAGTTAATATATGTAAGGCACTTAAAAAAACAATGTTTGGGGGATTTCCCTGGTGGTCCAGTGGTTGAGAATCTGCCTTCCAATGCAGGCGACACAGGTTGGATCCCTGGTCAAGGAACTAAGATCCCACATGCCGTGGGGCAACTAAGCCCACGTGCTGCAACTACTGAGCCCTCACGCCTCAAGTGGAAAGCTCATGTGCCACAAACTACAGAGCCCACACGCTCTGGAGCCTGCACGCCACTAGAGAGCCTGCTTGCCACAACGAAGATCCCATGTGCTGCAACTAAGACCCAACACTGACGAAAATAAATAAATAAAATAAGTATTTAGGGAAAAAAACAAACAATGTTTGGTAGATAGTGCTATGTTTGTGTTTGCAGTTGTTGATGTTGTTGTTAATAAATGAGAGAACACAAATGAACTCTGTTTCTCCCTCTGGAAAAGAGTGATCCAACAGAACACAGGAAGGATGGGTGGGGAAGGAAAAAGATGTCCACTTGCAGAGAAAGGAGGAAAGAAGGCAGGAATACACTTTGGAAGCTTGTTGGGGGTAAGGCAGTGCTCACAAGTATGGAAGGTATGATTCTGTCCGGACCAGGATAAGACAGCCTGGAGACAGACCCTGCTCAGGCTCAAGGCCAAACCATGCTGGCTCGTCCCCTGTGGCTGGTCCACTCGCCTCCCTCCTGCCTGTCTCTCCTTGTATAGACTCGCCTCACCTCTGTCTTCTTCTGCTCTGTAAACTCACCAGGCTTTAAAAGGCTGGCGCCAAGGACCTTGACAGTGCGTTCCCATGCACGGTCCCTGGAGACTCAGTGCGTTCCCATGCACGGTCCCTGGAGACTCTGCCCTGCCCTGCCCTGCACAGCGGGTCCCATGCACGGTCCCTGGAGACTCTGCCCTGCCCTGCCCTGCACAGCGGGTCCCATGCACGGTCCCTGGGGACTCTGCCCTGCCCTGCCCTGCCCTGCACCGCGGGCTTGGCTGGATGAGTGAGGCACCTGTTTATGGGTGTGCTCCGCAGCGGCTGAGGGGCGTGGGCATCTGGGCTATGTGATACCCTTCAAGCACATGTCCGTGCCTGTTAAAGCCCTCAGGCCTGGGACTTGGTGTTTCCAAGAGAGCTGGGTGTATGTGAGTCTTCCGGGTAGAAGCAAGCAGGGCAGGGCTTTCCTGGAGCCAGCAGGAGGGGAATGAAGAGCAAGGAGCCAAGTGGCGGAAAGGGGTTTGGGCACCTTCCTCCCCACAGGGACCGCAAGATCTTCGGGGACTTAGCAGTGACTTTCTTGAAGGTAAGGGCTCCAGGAACAGCCCGTCTGATAACAGGGGAATAATTCTGAAAACCAGGTGGGATGCTGCACTCACCCTGGTCCACTGTCACCTTGGAGTGACAGCTGCAAGCACCGGAAGGGACTTTATGTTGCTGAGCCCAAGATCCGTATTTTATGGGAAGAAGCAGAGGCTGTGATGGGCTTTGTCAAGCCCCCAGTCCTTTGGGGTCGTGGCCTCTGATTCCCCGCACAGGCCTCTTTCCTCAGCACCCGCTCTGTTTGCTATGACGGGGAGGGCTCCACGTCTGCAGAACAGACTAGTCGCCCTCACCAGGTGTTCTGGCAAAAGGGCTCCCCTTCAATGTGCACTTCACTCACGTGGTAGGAAATGGAGGACGGCATTTAAATCACAGTGGAAGGAAACACTTTCTAATTCCGAAGGGGTCCTAGGCCAGGGAGGTGCGCAGAAGGACCTGCAGTTCTGGCAAAAAGGCAGGTGGCTGGTCCACAGCCGGGTCCTGCCTCACAAACATGCGAGCTGTGCCGTTGCTCACGGCCCGTGCCCAGGAGGGACTCCCCCTTGGTCTCATGCTCTGCTCTTGCCGTCTTGAAATTCTTAATAATCATGACAAGGAGTCATGCACTTTCATTTTGCACAGGGCCCTGTAAGCTCTGTGGCCGATCCTGTCTACACTGCAGCCTGGAGGCTGGAGAATGAACTGCCCCCCTTCCCCGCGCCGGGGGTCCCTTTCACCTGAGGACAGAGGCCTGTGTTTGCAGGGAGAGGGTGGGGCCGGGCGCAACCGGGGCCCTAGTCTGGCTTCTTTCCTGAGCCTCTGTCCGCCCATCCAGATCTCCGCCCTGGGCGCCGAGCCCCGAGCCCCAGCCGGACGCAACTACCTGCAGCTGGACGCCCTCAATGCCAGGCCGGCGCGGGCCACCGGCTGAACCGCACACCGCCCAGCTCGCGCCCCCGGGCCCACGGGCGGGCGGCCTTCCCCGGAGGGACCCGGACGGGCGGGAGGGGGGCTGGGGAGGGTACGTTACCCCCAGGCAGGGTGATGGGTCCGCAGCTCCTGTCCCTGCCGTCGCCCGGGACGATCCGCTTGGTGCAAATCCGCCAGAGGCCGAAGTGTGCCGCCTGGCAGCTGGCGTTGCGGTGCTCCACGTGGGGGCTCAGCACGGCCCAGTGGTCGGTCACCACGGCCACCAGCGCCAGCACGATCCCCGCCAGGACGCAGAGGAGGGTCAGGCGGACCTTCAGGGCCTTGGTCTGGGACATGGCGGCCACGGAGCGGCGGGCGCTGGGTCAGGCCCGGCGGCCGCGTCCTCCCGGGCAGGTGGCGGTCGCGCCGGGGCGGCGGCAGCTGTTCAGTGTGCCCGGCGGGGCCGGAGGGGGCCGGCCGTGGGCGGAGGGGCGCTGGCCGGGCTGAGCAGCTGGCCAGACGTGTCAGCGGCCTGCGGAAGCTTCTATTAATGCCCATCCCGGCGCCTCGCCGAGGACGGCTGCTCCTCGGGTTTCAGGGCCGTCTTCGCTCCTGGAGCCAGCAGCACGCTGTGGGGGTGGGGTGGGGGGTTTGGGGGGGGCGAGGACAGCCGGCGCTGATGTGACTGCAGACGCTCTCCTCGGGGGACCTGAGCTGGGAGGGGCGAGGGGCAGGCAGCCGGGGCCGGCTGTGCGAGCATCTTCCTTCTGGGGCCGGAAGGACCCCGCGGGACACAGACTGTGTAGCCTCTGTCCTTGCACCGGGCGGGCCGGTCACCGGGGGGCGGGGGGTGAATGGGTCCTCGTCCCGGGGTTCTGGGGGGAGCCTGCCGAGGGACACGTCGGGGATGCCCTGCTTGGGGCCTCTGGAGCCCACTGCCCAGCCGAGCGCTCCAGCCCTGAACCCCACCATACCCCAAATGGCAGGAGGATCTCCGGTGGTTCCGGAGCCTCGCATCATCCCACACTATTTCCTTATCAATTCTCTTTCCATCCCCGCAGTGAGGTCTAGAAGAAAAGCTGTCTGGGGTTAGTAAGTCTTTAACCCCTTTCTGATACTTGCAAATCCAAGACCAGCCTCGAGAGGACAAAAAACCCAGCTGGATTTGACTGTGGTGCTGTTGCCACGGTACCTTTTAGTTTTTACCTTCTATTAATGGCAGGTAATAAAGATTTTCCAGTTACATTGTCCTTTACAAAATAAGTATACTTAAGTAGGAAGAGCAGAAGTAGGTCGATTGACAGGTGACTATTAAGAGGCTAAGGGGCGTGTGGCCCAGAGGACACGTGGGGTTTGGGGACCGCCTACCCATGCCCGCTTCACCTCAGGGCCGGCACTCCAGGCTGCAGCCCCTACGTGCCTCCCGGGCTTCTGCATCTCCTTTCTCAAGTCCCCAGGGGCCTCTTTTGGGATGTGTCCAAGAAGCTGATGCATGGCCAGGAAGAAACCCCTGAGCTGGGCAGGGGTTTGGCCTCTAAAATCTGGCCTCTGGTTGACACAGCTTACAGAAAGGCTGCCTGTGTGAGGAGAAACATCCAGGGGTCCAGCCACGAGGTCGCAGACTGTTGATAACAATGGTGATCATAGTGAGAGCTCAGCCTCGGTGAGTGCTTACTACCTACTAGGCACTCCGCTAAGGCTTTCCACACACCACTGCAGTTCATCTTCACACCAGTCCAGGAGGTAAACGCAACTATCACTCCCATTTTACAGATAAGGACCCAGACGCTCAGAGACGTGAAGTAACTTGTCCAAGGTCACACAGCAGGTAAATGGTGAAGCCAGGTTTCAGAACCCAGAGTCCAAACTCTTAACCAGTGGTTGGAGCTGGGAGGAACTTTCGAGATCTATTCTGACTGCAGGGGAGGAAAAACATCTTTGTCCTCTACCCTAACGAAAGACAAATTGACAAGAGAAAAGCATGCAAATTAATGGGTTTTTAAAAATTAATTAATTTATTTTTGGCTGTGTTGGGTCTTCGTTGCTGTGCACGGGCTTTCTCTAGTTGCGGCGAGCGGGGGCTACTCTTTGTTGCGGTGCATGGGCTTCTCATTGCGGTGGCTTCTCTTGTTGTGGAGCACGGACTCTAGGCGCGCGGGCTTCAGTTGTTTTGGCTCGTGGGCTCAGTAGTTGTGGCTCATGGGCTCTAGAGCGCAGGCTCAGTAGTTGTGGCGCATGGGCCCAGCCGCTCTGCGGCATGTGGGATCTTCCTGGACCAGGGCTCGAACCCCTGCATTGGCAGGCGGATTCTTAACCCCTGCGCCCCCGGGGAAGTCCTAATGTAAGTTTTATGTGGCACAGGAGTCTTCATAAAACATGAAGACCTAAAGAAACTGTTAAACTTGAACTTTTGTTTTTTTGAGTAGTGTATTTATTGTAATAATTTAATTTTTTTTCCCTGAATGAAAACATGTTCATTATAAAAATGCAACCACATACATGTATATGGAGAAGAAAAGTGATACTTGTTGTTTTTGTATTCCTTGTCTGTAATACCCCTTTCCTCATCCAGAGAGAAACGCTGTTCACAATTTAAACCTGAGCGTTTTAATGTGTTCTGTGTGTGATGAAGAGTGGGTGCAGGGACTTCCCTGGTGGTCCAGCGGTAAAGAATCCGCCTTCCAATGGGGGTTTGATCCCTGGTTGGGGAATTAAGATCCCACATGCCGCGGGGCAGCTAAGCCCGCGCCATAACTAGAGCCCACACGCCCTGGAGCCCGTGCACCACACTAGAGAGAAGCCCGCACACCGCAACTAAGACCCAACACAGCCATAAATAAATAAGTAAATAAATAAATGTTTTTTAAAAAAAGAGTGGGACATACAACAGGACAAAAGGATTGAGCGAAGGGCAGGAAACTCGTGGGGGAGAAAAGCAAGGTCTGTTCGTTCAGATGCTCCTCTGCATTTGTGGGACGTTTGTTCCTTTCTTCTGGGTGTAAGGAGAGAACCTCTCACGTGAGTGGCTCATGACCTGCTTCAGAGGAGGGTCACAGAGGCCTTCCTGTACCTGCCGTTTCTCAACTTCCTTCAGTTTAAATGTGCAGTATGCCCAGGTACCATATCTTGGGGCAGCGTGTCCTGAACCCCGTGTGACCGATTAAGGAACCTGTGGCCTAGAGACAGGACGTCACAAACCAGGACCCCCGTGAACAAGCACAGGCCGGAGACCTCGGGGCTCCAGCCACAGACTGGCCTGAACCTCCACATCACACGCCAGCCCCTCATCCAAGTTATAATCTCCCGACAGCGTCTCTCTGAACCTTCCTCACCACTGCCCCCCCCCCCTGTCTGCCTCCCCCCCCCCCCCCCCCCCCCCCGCTGTCTACATCCCCCCAGCCCATCACAGCCCGGTGACTTGCTGACATCTGTCATGGCTTGCTTCAGCTCAGAGGGTGCCTGTGTGTCTTCAGGCAGCTGGCCCCCCCGAGAGCACTCCTGGAAGCTGGGATGTGACACGCGGCCTCAGGCCCCTCGCACTGCCCCTGCGGGCCCGGCTTCAGGGCCTAGGCGGCCGGGGTCTCAGGGGGCGCTGGGTGGCCTGATGCGGACCCACGGTGTGTCAGGCACCCCAGCCAAGCAGCAGGTGTAGATGCCGGTGTTTCAGGACCGACCATCTGGGAAGAAGCACATTTCCTGGTGTGGTGGGGGTGGCACCCTAAGCTCACCAGCGCCGGGAGCCCCCCGAGGTCTCCAAGAGCGCCCTCAGGGGGCCTGGCCCGCGGGCGCACTCAGCCTTGGCCACGGCAGCACCGCAGGCCCCTCCGAGAAGCCGGGCTGCTCCGGGCCTCGGTGCGGGGCAGGTTTGTGCCACATGCAGGGGTCCTGACCCTCAGCCCAGCAGCACAAGCATGAAAGATGGATGCCCTCTTCCTTTTGGAGTAGGCTGTGTGTCAGTCTAGCTCAAGGTCGGCAGCCCAAGGGTTGCAGGCACTGCCAGGCTGTCTGCCCTGCTCCCCAGGCCTCAACGGGCCCGGGTTGGGGGGCAGCTCCGTGGAGGCCCGAGCTGGGCCACGCCAGCATCCTCCACTAAGGCCCTACCCTTTCCCGGGGACTGGCCTGTCGGTGCGGGAGCCAGCCAGCTGCACGGTCGGAGTCCTGCTCTGCCAGCCTCCAGCTGCGTGGCTTTCAGCCAGTTAACCTCTAAACGCCTTTTCCTCTAGATCTGAGATAATGCACTTCACCAGCTCAGCCCACGGTAGATGCTGTGCACTGAATTAGGTCCCCCTTAAATGCATACGTTGAAGCCCAAACCCCAACCTGATGGTATTGGGAGGTGGGACCTTTGGGAGGTATTTAGGTTTTGATGAGGTCACGAGGGTGGGGCGCTCGTGACGGATTATAAGGACAGACGCCAAAGAACTTGCTCTTTCTTCTCCTCTGCCACAGGAGGACTTAGCGAGAAGGCAAAAAATGCCCAGAAGAGGGCGCTTACCAGAGCCCAGCCGAGCTGGCACCATGATCTAGGGCTTCCATCCTCCAGAGCTGTGAGAAAACACATTTTGTTCTTTAAGTCACCCCGTCTGTGGCGTTCTGTCACGGCAGCCTGAGCTGACTGATGTAGTAGCAATTTGTCCAGCTTGGTTATTGCTACGATCGTTGCTTGTAGACTACAGATGGACCAGCTTTGTCTGATGGGCTGTAAGCTTCTGGGGACTCTATTATGTACTCATTCTGCGTTCCCTCAGAGAACCCCCTGGATTTGAGCCCAGGGTTGGACCTTCATAAAGGTTTGTTGAATGACGGATGGATTGACGGACAGATGGGCTGAAGGAAGGGGACAGAAGCTCAGATAACTGACTCCACTAGATGAGCCAGAGGACATTGTCATGGCCACAGGGGCGTAAGAAATGGCAGCTCGGGCTAAGCCAGTACAGCTTGGACCAGAGGCTAATGTGCTTCCAGGGGCTGAGGGGCAGCCCAGGAGGGCCCCATTGCCACCTCTGTGACCAAGCGCGTGAGGAAGATCCGATATTTTCTACAGGAATCCTTCAGAGTAGAGATGCCACGCTCAGCTCATCGGGAGCTGTCTGCACGTCACTTGTCCAGATGAACCAGCTTCCATTCGTCCCAAGAGACTGCTCTTTTCCCAAGAAGGAGCCAACATAATTGAGGGAAGGAAAACACCTCTCAGAAGTGGGCCTCATCTGGAGCCGGGACCGGCGCGCGCCCGGGTCGGGGACCCTCTTCAGAAACATGTTGACCTGATTCTGAGCTCAGGCTTCGTGAGGCTGAGAAATGGCCTTGGGTGTATGTCTTAAAAGACTATGAAACAAGGCGCCACCCTGTTGTCTCAACCTCTTTTCGCAGCTTCATCTCCCTCCCTGCAAGGTTCAGCGTGGACCTTCTGTTGCCTCAGGCCTGCCGTCCCCAGTTCTAACCTGTGAGCCAAGGACGGTCTCTGCCTCTGTCCAGGGGCCCAGACTTCTCCCATCTGCAAACTCAGAGATCTCATCGCTCAGCCTCTGCTTCCATCATCATATCCCCTTCTCTGACTCTCCTGCATCCCTCTTTCCCTTAAATGGACCCTTGTGATCACGTGGGATCCACCCAGATAATCCAGGACAATCTACCTGTCTCAAGATCCGTAATTCAGTCACATCTGCAGAGTCCCTTTTGCCACGTAAGGTGACGTCGTCGCGGGCTCCGGGGACGCGGACTCGGGCGTCTCTGGGGCCGCTATTCTGTGCGCCACATGCACTGACGTATGATTTCCTTAATTTTTTCTGGCATCGCCTTGCAGCTCAGGTGCAGAGATGGAGAAGGTGGGAGGTGACACTGAAGGAGGGCTGGGGCTCTGCCGGGGGGAAAAACTAGAAGGAAGAGGCCGAGGGAACTGAGGGCAAGGGTGGGTTTAAAGGATGATTTGTCAGGTCTGGTTAGGATTGGTTAGGTCATGACTAGGGTCGCCCTGCGACCTGGAAATGTCACCGTGTTGGGAGAAAATGGAGAGGTCAAGACCCTGAAGGGCTTGATGAGGTTGCAAAGCAGGTATAGTAGGGGGATGGGAAAAGGAACTGGGTGCATTGGAAGCTGTGGTCAGAGGAGGACGGGGGCCCTGATGATCTGGCAGGGGGGACAGTCAGGGGAGATGGTGAGATCCAGGCTGGGGATGAAGGTGAGTGGACACGAGAAGGTCAGGTGGTCCCTGGAGGTGAGCAGGCCGGAGAGCTGAGAGGCCAGGGGTCAGAGTGTTGGCCCCGTGGACGTCGATGTGGCAGGACTTGGGGTGTAGAGGAGGGCTTCGCGGCAGAGGTGAAGCCTCTGATGACGTGAGGAGGCAGCCAGGAGGGTGTTCAGGAGATGACAGTGGTGAGAAAGGGTTTGCGGTGGTCTACCCGGGCCCTCCGAGAAGGCTTTTCTCCAGGAGGGTGGAGGAGTGATGGTTTCGAGGTGTCAGCGTCCCTCCACTCTCCTCTCCTGCAATTAGAAGTCCAGGGACGTGAGCTCATAACCTCCTCTGTTCCTGAGGTGGCATCGGCAGTCTTGTTGGGAGCTGCAAGCGCAAAAGTGTCTGAATCAGGTGTATCTGCCCCCCAGCTGCCTCTGGATCCTAAGGTCCCTTAGATCTCCCTTCTCCCTTTCCAGTTCCACACCTCTTGGGACTGAGGATGGGGCTGGGCAGCCTGAGTGTTACACTGGGACCCTGGCAGGGAAGCCCAGCAGGAGGACAGGGGAAAGGAGAGTCCTTGGGGGAGAAGAAGGGTTCATCTGTCCCGGGAGGATAGTTCCAGAGGACACAGTGGAGACGGAGGGTGGAAGGGAGCGTCGGCCGGTGGAGAAGCCGGGAGAGACTAGGGGGCCAGAGTGCAACTTCCCAAATGGCTGCAGCTGCATTCCTGCTCTCGTACGTTCCTCCAGAACCTGCCACTCCCCGTCAACAAGTGGGGTCCACTTCCCCTCCCCTTGGCCTCAAGCAGGCTTCTGACTGGACGCTTCAAGTGCAGTGGGAGTGATGCTCTGTGACCTCTGACGCTCCCACCTTTCCCTCTTGCTCTGGGGACACCCGCCCTTGGGCCTGGCCACTGTGCTGTGAGAAGCCTCGTGTGTAGACATTCAGGCTGAAAACTGAAGCCAAGGTCTTTGTCAGCAGCCAGCATCACCTGTCAGGCCTGTGAGCTGAGCGGCCTGAGATGATCCCAGCTCCCACCGTCGGGCACCAGGTCTTCCAGCCGAGGCCCCAGGCACAGGAGCAGAGCTAAGCCAGCCTGACCCTGCCTCTGTCAAGCAGAGATAAGATCCTGTGACGGTATTTAATGGTTGCTTAAGAGCACTGAGTGTTGGTGCCATTTGTTACGTAGCCGTACTAGCTAATACACTCAGTGACTGGAAGGTTTTGTAATTGAAGGAAGCAGCCCCAGCTTTCCAGGAAGCACTCAGTGTGAAGACAGCCTCCTGGCAGGGAGTGGAGGAGGAAGGCCACGATCGCCACAGCCCAGACCCCCTGTGTGTACGCAGACAAGATCTTGACTGTGTCTGGTGGTGGACAAGGAACCCGGTCTCTTCACCAGCCGCCAGGACAAAGCTGGGCCAGAAGTTCATCGTGTGAAGTCACCAGATCATTTTGCTTTGTTCTGTTTTGTTTTGGCTGCGCGACTTGCAGGATCTGAGTTCCCCCGCCAGGGGTTGAACCCTGGCCCTCGGCAGTAAAGCACGGAGTCCTGACCACTGGACTGGCAGGGAATTCCAGAGAAGTCACCCGACCTTAACCAAAGGCAGCCTGAATATGCCCGAACTTTGGTCTCATCCAGACACCGTTTAAGATCTAGAGACCCGGGTCCGGCAATAGTTACATAAATGGTGGGATCTCTGTGTCATGCAGTCATTAAAGATTATGTTTTCGGGCTTCCCTGGTGGCGCAGTGGTTGAGAGTCTGCCTGCCGATGCAGGGGACACGGGTTCATGCCCCGGTCCGGGAAGATCCCACATGCCGGGGAGCGGCTGGGCCCGTGAGCCATGGCCGCTGAGCCTGCGCGTCCGGAGCCTGTGCTCCGCAACGGGAGAGGCCGCAGCAGTGAGAGGCCCACGTACCGCAAAAAAAAAAAAAAAAAAAAAAGATTATGTTTTCGAGGAATAATCTAAATTAAAGACACGGGAAGATTCTCATAATGAAAAGCAGTGAACAGGGCAGGGAATTAACCCCACGTACATCTGGGTGCAGTGAAGCCCTAACTGTGCTCACGCCTTAGGTGGTGGGATTTGGGCTGGTACTGTTTTTTTCTTCTTTAACTTTTCTGTATGTTGCAGATTTTTTTAAAGGTGAAATGTAATACTCTTAGAATGAGGAAAACATGAGTATTATTTGTTTTAAAAAGCACCTAGTTATTTGCTGTTTAATTTGTGGACTCTGGAGATCTCACAGGGGTTAACGTATCTCCGAGAACACTTATCAAGACACAAAGGTCAGGATGTAGGTCCCTCCAAGCCCCCTTTCCTGAAGCTGTGGGCACGAGGAGGAGGCTTTGTCACCCTCTTTGATCGCAGACTTCTGTTCCTGAGGTTGCACCAGCAGTTTCATTGGAAGCTGCAAGTTTAAAAATATCGGTATCAGGTGTATCTGCCCCGTCTCCCGCTCTGGATCCTAAGGTCCCCTCGGTCCCTCCCCTCAGTTCCTCCCCTCCCCCACCCAGCTCTAGGGCTGGGCGGCCAGGGGTGCTATATTAGGAGCCAGCGCAGGGAGCAGAAATCACGTGGCTGGCCCTGAGCTCCCTGCAGGGAGGCCTGGCCCCCATCTTCTTCTCGCTGCCAGGCCTCTCCTCTTGCCAACTGCATGCTAGGGACCTAAACAGGACCTCTCTCCACACAGCCCGGGGACCCCTGAGGGCAGAAACGAATGGGCACCAGCCAGGGAAGCCACTGGGACAGGAGCCTCACCTGGGGGGCGGGCGGGGCACACAGTGCCTGGATCGTTGAATGACGGGTTTCTCCCCAAAGTGCTGCGGGCACAGACACCCTGCGGGCCCGGCTCTCAGAGCACCTCCTCCCTGGGCTGTTCTAGAATAATTCTTCTGGGGAAATTCCTTGAGTGTTGTTAGTCGACAGATGCTCCTGAAAGTTCACTCTAAGGCCAGTCCCCAAGCTGGCGTATTTATGAATGTTTGCTTAAGTTAAAGTCTAATTCATTCTCCCAGCGGCCCTGGGAGGGAGGCGCTGTCCTCCTCCTTTGACCCGGGAGGGAACTGGGGCTCTGAGGGAGCTTCGCTTAGTGGCCGGTGCTGCGCAAGCGTGGCTGGAGGGTTTGACCTGTGTCTTTCTGGCTCTTGGCGACGTCGCTGCAGCTGCCGGCAGTGGGTGGTGGGGCCCGGCGTCCAGCTGGGCCAGGATTCTGGGCTTGTTCTACCACTGCCCTTTGGTTCAATTCCATCAGCATTTTGTCCCCAAACCCTGGGACAAGGCACACCTACCCTCACCCAGGGAAAGGTGGCCGTTTTCCCATTTCCTTCTTCAATCCCCCAACTCCTGTTTTCAAAACTGTTGGCTCAGAAGCGAAGAGGAGAAAGGCAGAAATTGAAGTGTGTTGAAGGGAAAGGAAATACTGGGAATAAATACGTGAGTTTTCCCAATGTGTCCGCAGCCTAGATGCAAGTACTGAAAACTCGCTGTGTGATCGTCACCCTTTCTGTGCCTCGGTTCCCCTCACTGTAAAACCAGCCTGGGAATTATTGACAGTTTGGACCAGATTATCCTTGGGGATGGGGGAGGGCTGCCTTGTGCACTGCAGGGTGTTGGGCAGCAGCCCTGGCCTCCAGCCACGAGACGCCAGTAGCATTCCCTCCCCTGCTGTGACAACCAGAAATGTCTCCAGACATTGGCAAATGTCCCCTGGGAGTAAAATCACACCCACTAGAGAACCACTGGGCTAGCGGTGTCTCCCTTTTGAGTTTGTTATGAAGATCCTCAGAAAATTTCCCTTCCTTCCTTTTATTTTCCCTTCCATCCCCCTCACCTCCTTCTTTGGACTTGATTCCTTTTCTGTGATGAGCACATTGAATGAGATGATTCCTAAGATACCTGCCACTCCTGCTGGTCTTGATGTCCAGGGATCCTGAGATTCTTGTTCACGTCAAGGCTTGAGCGCAAGCCTGCTCCTCCAACCTAGGAAGCAGGTAGCATGGACCCATTTTACAGATGGGGCAGCCAGAGCAGGGAAGAGGCCCGACTTCAACTCTGGAGCTGGAGGAGGGGCTCTGGACACACAGAGGCTGATGCAGTCCCAGGCAAAGGGGTCAGTTTCGAGTAGGCACTCCCAAAAATGATCGGGGAGGGGAGGCAAAAGAGGGAGATGCCCAAAGACCCAGACCAGGAGCTGAGACTGACCAGCTGTGCCCCAAACTGTATTCCTTCCGTCCCTGGCTAGACTACACAGCCCGTCTCCCGGCTCTCAGGTGGGACCACGTCACTGAGCTCTGGCCAGTGGCATGTGCGCAGAAGGGGATGTCACAACTTCCTGGTCCATTAAACCCTCTCACAACACCCTCTACCCACAAGACCACCTGCCGTCCCCCTTCTCCATCTGCCCGCTGGATGTCAACGCCAAGGACAAGCTTAGACACCCATGTTGTGGATGGCAGAGCCTCCACGGCTGGTCTCTGAACCCTGAATGACAGTGTGTATTCTGTACACAATGTACCCACCCCATGGAGCAGACTCTCTGAGTGGAAAATAGACTTCCATCGCACTAAGCCATTCTGCACTCGGGGTGGTTGGCAACGTCATTAGGCTACGCGGAGTGATACAGGTAAAGGGTAAAGTGAGGGCCGGAGCGGGCTCTGGGCCCTAGACCACCCACTTCCGAGTCGGTTCCCGCGGCTCTAACTCTGCCGGTTATGGAGACAGAGTTTTTCGTTGAACTGAAATGCGTGACCGCGTGAGCCCCGCGTCGGACGGAGGCCGTAGCGTGGCGCTGAACGCAGGCTGCACGGGAGTCCGCCCAGGACCGCTGCAGAGCGTGTGCTGAGCCAGAGTCTCCTCAGGGCTAAAAATAACCAGTTCTGGCCCCTGGTGCCAACGCCGAGTGTCGTGGCTCTGGGCTGGCAGAGCCGTGAGCCCGGAGCTTGGCAGGGGTCCCCTGCCCCAGCACCGGGTGGCTCGGCGCCCCTGGGAACGTCAGTTTCCCCGGGTGCCTGTCTCAGGAAGGAAGAAGGGGTTAAAAAGCCAGGGCTGAAAGTTCAGACAAGCCGGTTCCTGCAGCCACAAGGGCCGGGATGTGGGGACACTGGGCCCTCAGCCTCGCTCCCAAAGCCCTGGAAAGGCCTCCGTGACACCAGCGTTCTCCTGAAGGAAGCTCGAGAGTCCAGTGCATCTTGGCTCCAAGAGGACCAGAGAAGGCCACGGCTCTCAGGAAGAAAACTCACCGTCTCGGTCCTGAGAGAGAGCGGAACACGTCACTCACTGCATGTGAAGGTGCCCTGGGCTGCGACTCCCGTGGGACCAGGGAAGGATGTTGATTATCCAGCCTCAAGGGCTGTCCAAGGGGTGGGTGGACGTACGGCCAGTGCCCACCTGCCAGCGTGAGCCTGGAGGGTTGCACCATGACTGGCGGGGGTCTGTGCAGTATCTTGATCGGAGGGGTCTCTCTGGTCCCCCTCCCCATCCCTGATTTCTCTCCTCCCGGTGGCTGGGAGCGGGGGCAGCCAGCTGCCGTGCCTGGGATTGGGTGGCTCCGTGCCATTTGACCTCTGGTTGGAGCCGCATTCTCCCGTCCAGTTCCTCCAGGCACAGAAGCTCACACTCTGGGACAGGAATCCTCTACCTGCTTCTCATTCATTTTGGAATTGGGAGGGGAAGGAGGCTGCTTATGGGAATTTTTAGGAACCCACCAGGCAGCTTGGCGCCCCTGAGGCTGCAGCTCTGTCCAGCCAGCGCCTGCCCTGCAAACTCTAAAGACAGGCCTGGCTTGCTCAGCTGCCCAGATGCTTCCCCCACACCGGGGGTGGCCTGTCCCTCTTCTGGCTCCTCCATGGCATCACCCAGGAGCGTAAAGCCAGCTGGCGGTGCCGGGGAGGCGGCCAGTGACCCGGACAGAGAAGCTGGACTTGACCAGCACCGGGTCCGCTCTCCCCTCCCCTTCTCCTGGAGGGTCCCCAGCATCTCCTAGACCTGAGGACACTAAGTGCCCACAAAGACTTGCAGGGACCTCCCCCCTCCCCCTTCCCACATCGAGAAGAGAACGTTTTAAAAATGTTTTTATTTAATTAAAAAAAAGACAGAACTAACAACCCAAAACCAGTAGTTGGTACGGGATTCACAGGGGCTTAACTGGTGAGACACACAGGGGCGGGATGGAGAGGGCGTGGGGTCGGGGGAGTGTGAGGGCCACAGGCCACCCGGGGCCCCCGTGGGCGCAGGTCTCAGAGCGAGGGCAGGCGGGGAGGGGGTGACCAGAACCTGGGGCAACGGTGGGAGAAAGGCTGTGAAGACCACGGCGCTGAGGGAGCTCGCTCCCTGCTCTTCTGTCCCTCCTGTCGCTTCTTTCTACTTTCTTGGTCCCGAAAGTGGGCCCTGCGCTCTCTTCCTGGGACTGGGCAAGAGGTAGGATTCATCGGAATGCAGCTTTCTCCATGAAATGACGGAAACTTCCAGGGCAGCAGGTGGGAAGGTGGCTTACGTGGAAGAAAGGACAAGGCTGCCTGTTTTTGGAAGTGACCTTGCTGGGGGATGAGTCCCTGGATTCCGCCCCCATCCTTCTAGCCTGGTGCAATGGTGTCATGGCCTGGGGAGGGGGAGGGTGGGCAGGGGCAGGCCACGAGCCCGGACACTCCAGCACTCACTGCTTGTACATGCTTGGACAAGCCACAC